ACATGGCAGCCTCCATGTCTGACAGCCCAGGCTCCAGTCACACAGCATTAGATCGCCTCAGCTGAGCCACACACACACACACACACACACACACACACACACACACACATCCGACCCCTGAGGCGGGCTCATGTACCATATTCATATTAGTTTATGTTGCTGTTTGGCGCACGTTTGTGTGCTCATATATGTGTGTGTCGGTGTGTGTTCAGCTGTTGTTTGTCCGCTTGATGAAATGAAGATGTGCTTCCATCATTATGCTTCAGCAGATTGGAAAAAGGGGGCAGAGAGGAACGCTGGCATGGAATGTGCCATCAGTGTCTCCCACACTGAAGCTATTGTCAGGCGGCTGCCCTCATCATCGGCACGACCAACAGGGACAACGTGGCCTTACAGATGCAGGGATGCATGGCTATCTGTGGGTGTGTGATTGATACATCTCTCTCTCTCTCTCCCTCCTGCACAATAATGCAGAGACCATGTGTCATCCTCTCTTCACGGCAAGATTAAGGGATAAGTATATATTCAGGCAGCTGAGCCCAGACTGGATGTCACGTCCACACTGACAGGCTGCCAAATCAATGCAAGTCTGTGGAATCCTGCCACCACACCTGAAGCACAGCTGGGAATGTTCTCCATAACCGTGTGGAATTCTAACGAGGTCAGAGAAAAAAAAAAACAGCAGGAAAAGTCAGATTCAGGAGAAATAAAAATGTCAGGAATTCAGGATCTCGAGCCTTGGTGCTGAACGCGTGATTACGTTCAAAAACCAAAAGTCACTTCATCGGTTGGTGGTAGCTCATACATTAACTCGGGCATAATTTTTGCAATTATTTAAGGGTGTAATTAATGATATGCATATCAAAGCAGTGGAAGTTGTTGCCTCCGTAATCAGATGTCACAAGGATCAGCCACGCTGCTGCATTTAAAGTAGTTGTAGAGATTTGTTCCCGTCAGTGTGTGTCTGTGCCGTGACAGGACCTTTGTTTGATTCTCACTTCCACAACTGATTATCTGAGATATCACCAAGACATTTCTCTCTCAAATCCAAGTCGGGTACAGTCCAGTCTTTTGTCTTTGAGAGACAAGTGTCAAGTCTTTGACCCAAGTCCAACTAAAGTCTCAAGTCTTTAAGACACAATAACAAGTCTTAAAGTCTTAAATCCAGGACAAGCTTACGTGCTCTTAGGGACAACACCGAGCCAGGTCTTTAAGGTGAATGTCAAGTCAAGTTTCAAGTCTTTTGTCCCAGGTCAAAGTCAAGCCTCAAGTCTTGACTCATGATATAAAAGTCCTGCACAAAAGTAACATTTTCATTTTTTAAATTATTATTTTTATCATAAAGTTTGGTTTACTTTGACTTCCTTTTTTAAGCTTCTTAATTATTGAATTCTCGTTCATCGTATGTGTACTAACACACACACACACAGCTTACGTGTGTGTGTGTGTGTCCTGGGTGTTGACAGTATGGATTCCAAAGGAGCGAGGTTTCCACTCACGTCAACGTCTTTGATGCCGTTGCCATGTTGTGGTCGTCACTCCTGTTGCTCTTTGTTGTTGTCTGTCCTAAAAACGCACCGGATTTCAATGAGACCTCACACACACACACACTCACACACACACACACACACGCTTCTTTTGATGTGTTGTTGTCATTGATGTTAACGATGACGGTGCCGTGGCGCTAATTACTGAACCCCATGTATTTAGACATGAGTTTACCATTGATGAAACCTTGTTCTTATAGCGCCATCTGTCTCCAATCAGCTCAGTACACGAAGTACTCACTGTTTTCATGGTTCAACTCTTTCTCTATTTGATACTACACTTATGTATTATTGTTACGTAGTACGGTTTTAAATACTACTGCGTACAATTGTCACTGTGGTAACTATACAATACTATATCTATAATAAAATATATACTATAAACTACTGTACAATATACTGAACTACAATTTACTATATACTATACTGCTATGCTTAACTATACTATACCATACATATATACATATATATATACCATATAACCGTAGTACATAACTATTTCAAACTAGTTCTTACTACGCTAAACAAAGCTATATTAAAATAGGCTACTGTATATACTGTACTCTTTACAATACTGTATTACACTGTAGTATATACATAACTGTACTATACAAAGCAATACTATACTATACTAAAGTAGACTACAGTATACTACACTAATGTATGGCATTTAACTATGGTTATATAATTCATTATTGTGGTTAAATAATTGTGGGTTTTTTTCTTTCTTTTATATTTAATTTATTTTGTTCTGTAGGTTTACTTCAGATTCTACACCTGTAGCATACAGACATGTTGACATGTTACAGGTTGATGGTTCAAAGCCAGGCTTACTCTCACACTCTTGGTGCCTTTCTTAAGCCCCTTATTAGAGGAGGGTGGGCATCAGGTGTAGTAACCGGGCCAATTCTCACATGCGGCTCTTCCTCTGCAGAGACGAAAATTCATGTCACCGCTGGAAATCTGTCAGAGAATTCACCAAAGCAAAAGCTTCAAGCGTCTGATCCCAGGGGTTTGGAGAGCTGCTGCCTCCGAGGCGCAGTATCAGCTGCTGGAATTTGAAATGAAGTGTCATTTTAGTGCCAGATGGTTGCTCTGCTCTGATGCTGGTGGTCTTTCATCAGAAACACACTCTCCCTCAGATGGATATGGCTGCATGTGAAAATGGAGGAGAGTCTTTACACACAAACACGTGTCCGTCCGTCTTCCTTCCTTCTTATTCCCACTCGCAAATATCACCGTGCTGCTGGGCAAAGATCTGCTGACATTTCATTATCTTTTTTCTCCTTTCTACAGGTGTCTGTGGAGGAAACATGCTCAGGAGCTTTGTCACTGTTAAATATTCTCAGCCAGTCTAACTCTCCCTCTCTTCAATGTCTTCCATCTCACAGTTTGTGTGCTGTACACTCAAGGAATCGCCAACAGGGAATGGAGAGAGGTGAGTTAGAGAGCTGGGGGAATTATTCATAACCAGACACTGCTTTTAAAATGACAGCATTGTAATGTAAATGCAACTTGAATAAATTAATTTTGAAATTGACAGACCTGTCTGTGAGTGGGTCCACGGAAAGCATTCTGTTCAAAATGGTCATGGAGAAGTACTGCAAAAAAGGAAACATTAACTTTGTGGTTATAGAAAACGGTGGCTCTCATCACTTCGCCTTCAGAATATTTAAAATTTAAGAATTTTTAAGAATTTTACTTTTTTATCTACTAGTGTATTTTCTGGACTATAAGTCGCTCCGGAGTACAAGTCACATCAGTGCCCTCTAGCGGCTGTCAGTGTGAAAATAACGAATTTGTAAATTTTCAGTGGTACAGGAGTAGCAGAGTCTAGAGTCTAGAGTGCCCTCTGGTGGCTGTCTGTGTGAAAATAACAAACATGTGAAATTAGGCATTTTAATATATAAGTCACAAACCTAGCCAAAGGATGAAAAGAAAGTGCGACTTATAGTCCAGACAATACGGTAATTCTAATTCTACTTTTTTATGACAGGTTCTGAGAAGCATGTTGACTGTAGTAACACAGCAACTTTTACTTCATAGTGGTCAAACGCACTTTCTTTTAGTCGTTTATTTTATTTACTATGGACCCAAAAATTGAAATGTTATTGTGGTTTTAGTCTGAGAAATTAAACTTGATAATAAGGGTTAGAACAGGTCACCAGGTTCCTGCCCGCTGAGTCTATTTGCTGGGATTTTTCTATTCAGTGTCATCTTTCAGAGTTTTTGTTGACATTAATATCCTGAGCCTCTCACAGTGACAGGCAGGGTTTTTATTTCCAGGGAGCGTACAAGTGTTTAACTCCAGTGGCGTGTCAATCAAGTTTCATGCGAGAGGGAGTTGGTTTGGCTGACGAGCAGAAAACAGAGAAAATGATCTGCAGCTTCATGTCTGACAAACAGCACTGAGCTGCACTGACAGGCCGGCGTCACGCACACGCCACCAAACACTCCGTGGTAGAGCTGGTACGCAGCCATGTCCGCCTGTGTGTAGACGGGCAGACTACTCATGTGACCAGGTGTCACACATTTTGGAAACACGTGGAACTTTGATGGCGTCTCATTTCTGTTTTCTACTTCCAGTTCGGCAGAACAGAAGTCATCGACAACACCCTCAACCCTGACTTTGTCCGCAAATTCATCCTGGACTATTTCTTTGAGGAGAGACAAAATCTACGGTTTGACCTGTGAGTAAACAAATACACTGTATGTTTGTGTTTTTATGTTCCTCAGCGCCGGGGTGAAATATTTCTAGTCTGAACTGATAGGATGCCAGTCTTCGAATGAATTTATTTTGTGGAAAAAATGTTTTATTTGAATTTGTTCTTACTTTATTTTTCAAATGTCAAGTGAATCTTACAGTTGACATGTTGAGATGATGACGTTGGGGAAAGGTTTCAGTCAAATATGTCGTAGTATTCCCAGCAATCCAGATCCAAATATCAGGGTTTGGACTGGAAGTTGTTTTTTTAAAAGAATTTCTTAAACATAAATCAAAACGAGTTTTTGTTTGACCAAATAAATATTAAGGCTGAGTTTGATGTGTTTAGGAAATGGGGCAGAATTGGAGGGTTGGTCGCCGCGGCATGAATCTCAACTACTGTATTTCTATACTTGGTTGGTGTAAATTATACCTGTGTACTGTGCATACTTTAAATCATGTATAGAATTTGGCTCCCTGTATTTTGCTGCAGCCTATTTGTATTTGTTTTTTCATTTGTTTCCTCCTCAAAGATGCAGGAAGTCCACAGGTGGTTGAACCTCCCACTTTATAAATAGAGGCTTTGTCTCCACACGTGTCTGTGGCAGAGAGTCTGTGCTGGGGTTGGTAGATGTTGGCCTTTGTTGTAGAAATCAGGCTTTTTTTTGCGTCTTATGATTCTTTTTTAGGCTTTAACTAAATGTATCAAACTCACGTGTTTTGATTGGGAATTGTTTGTGCAGTGATATATGGCAACCCTGGAGCTATCAATCTTGTCACTCAAACATCTTTAAAAGAAAAATAAATCAAATGTTAGGCTGTTTTGCCGCAGGTTTTAGAAATAGAAACAATTCTGCGTTGACGGCACTGCCACCGTTTGCAGCGTGGGCAAGACACTTACACTTTGCCTCTTGGACATTCTTGTGCTCTCATGCTGAGGTGTAAAACTGCCCTGACACGTTTCTCTGTTTGGGGGCCATTACTTCTGTCTCTCTCTCCTTGGACTCTGTCCTGGGGTCTATAAACCTTTTATACTGTAGCTTGTACAGATCATTGCCTCAACCTCCATCACACCAACATGCCTCCCATCCTCCCATCCTCCCATCCTCCCGGCGTTTTGGGTGATGCTGAGCTGCCTCTGCATCACCAGTGGAGTTGCTACAAACTGCCTCTTTACCCAAACGCAGTGGAACCAGCTCATACTGTATTTGCTAGTCCAGGAAATCCTGTTAGACCTCGTCACACACTGCTGGTCATGTTCACTCCCTCCTTCTGCTTTTTTTCTCATTTTTTGGGGGGGCTGGGGGGGTTGGGGGGGGGGGCGTCAAATGTAGGCTGCTCACTGAAGCCAGTGGAAGTCATCCCCATGGATGGATGGTTGTTTAATCAAGTGTGGAAAGTGCAACTTTCCTCCAGTTCTCCTCTAATTGAATAAGTCCTGGATTGAAACCACCCACAAAACATTACAGCCGTCTCAACTGAATGCCTTTATGTAACAGCAGAAGTCGTGATGCCGTAGTGTCACAGATAAAAAGTGGATCAAAATGCATTTGACATTTAAATTACCTAATAAAACGCCCACAAAAGACAGAGAGACGCCCTGTTGTCCCTGGTCCCTGTTGATGTCCACTGAAAAACAGATGAATTAAAAAAAATATGGGGTTGAGAATTATACCTTGTGGCATCCCAAAAACTGAAAATGCACGAAATGAAATTTGTACTTCAGGATTAATTACATAAAACCTTTTATGGGAGCATTGGTTTCATCAATAATTTTAGTCAAAATGTGTTTAATGGGCTTCATTTTAAAGGTTAAATGTATGAAAACTTTTTTTTTTTTTAATTATTTTTAGGGCACACATAATTTGGCGAAACCCAGGCATTGCGTTATTGGGTTTTCATTAGCAGAGGAAAATCGATCGGCTGATATTATTCTTCTACTCTTTTTGAAATTTGCATCCCACAAAAGCCTGGGTTTATTTTCTACATCAGTTCTCAGGTCAAACGCAGCTCGGAGCTGCTGCAGCCGTCGTCCACATGCAGACAGTGAAGCACAGGAGCAGGAGAAATCCTCTCTGGCACGGTGCCAGTGAAGGCTGATGTCATCCACATAAACACACACACACATACACACACACACACTCAGAACAGACCTGCACTCGTCCCCCCCACAGATCTTTTTTACATCATCCTGTAAAACACTTTAATGTGTTTTTACGCATGTGTGAGTGAACACCCCCCCCCCCCGCCCCCCCGTCAGTCGGCTCCTCTCTCCCTGGAGTCTCTCATTATTAAATAGGCTTAAATGAATCATTTACGAACATTTGGGAGCGACACAGTCAGGAGGGCACACAGAACACGGAGCGCACCTGTGCATCTGGCTGTCGGCACATCGCAGCAGAGCAGTGTTTTCCTCTCACTGATGGATCTGTAAAAACATGCGGCCGCCGTCATGTTCACACACACACACACACACACACACACACACACACACACGGCTCGGTGCGTGTTTTGTCAGCAGGCAATGCACTGTACATGGCATGTTGTCCGTGGACTGAACAGCTCTTTCAATTATCTCACCCTGCATGTAGATGTGCAAACACACACACACACACACACACACACGTCACCAAAGTGGATGCTCAGCATCACCATCTTTCCTTCAGCTGTTTTATTTTTTTATTTACACCTGCTGAAGTCATTTAACTGAAAAATGTGTTAAATATAAAATAAAATAAAATCTTGGATCAGTTAAAATAAACTGTACAAAAACTATAAATCAGCACCATGGAGAGCTCTGCTCCAGTGGAGATGGATTATAGGGTGAAGGGAATGTTTGGAGAAATACATGGCTTGATTGAAAAGATTATAAATACTATTATCAGATTAATCACACCATAGCTGTGGATTCATAACAATTAATCACGATTAATCAACAGTCCTATATATATATTTTCTATATTTCTGAAATACAACTGTTTAATTAAATTATAAAAACTATGATGGAAAAGTTGTCTTCTTCTCTGTCCATCCATCCGTCCGTCCGATGATCCATCCATCCATCCATCCATCCATCCATCCATCCATCCATCCATCCATCCATCCATCCATTACCATAAAGTCAGTCCCTGTATTAACCAAAGACCTCCTGTTGGTGCGAACACAGCAGGGTTTGGAGCTGAAACCTCACTTCCTGTCACGTCCTTTTCCTCCACACTGACGCGTGGTGTCTTCTCTCCTCTGTCTCTGCAGGTATGATTTAGACTGCAAGAGCGACAACCTCTCTAAACATGTGAGTGTCTCCTTTTGCTCCTCAGCTGCACAACAATCAGCCCCACATCCATAAAGATACTGTGTCGCTGTTAAATCTGTGTGTGTCAAGAGTCAACAGAGCATCACAGGAATTACAGTTTATTATTGACTTCAGCACAAACAGAGAGATTATTCAGTGTAAACCTGAAAGCCGATGGAGGAGTTCAACCAAAGTTCCAGCAGTCAATTCACTTTGGAGGTTAAATTCAGAGTTTGGATTCATGTGATCATGACTGCAAACCTTTAACTTCTGACCGCAGCCCTACAGGCTGATCCTCCACCTTCATTCACACAGACAATGGCCTCTCGTCACTCGGTCTCCACCCTGAGCCCCTTCTCCACCCTTAGCTCTTCGTCTGTTACCCGTCCTCATGCTCTGTGCCATCTGCAGACAGACTCCTTTACGTCAGCTCCAAAGCCCAGCCTGCCCTCGGGTTCTTCCACTGAGAGCACTGAGCAATGTGAGCGCAGCGACTCACTCTCAGCATGACGGACGGAGACGCTTGGATGCGCGCTGTCGTTTCCGTGGATGTGTGGGCTCGGAGATCTGGCACACAGAGATGTCTCCATTGTTCAGGGGAAGTCTTCCCCCAGTCGCGTGGCTATAAATAACAGTTAAATGATAAAAGCAGTATTCAGGAGTACAGTACATTACAGTATTCCTCCTGTTGGCTTTCAGTGGCAGCATTTGAGAATGACTCGCTCCCTCCCCTCACAGCAGATGTCTCCGCTCTGCCGTTTGTTTGTGTACCTTGTGTAGCTGTGGCTTCAGGCTGAAACGAACATGAACAGAGGATCCAGTTGAAGCTCATTAGGAGCTCACGTGTCGCAGCTACATGAGGTGGATGTTGTGTTTTAATGCTCACGATTGGCCGTCACACTCTATTCCAATTTCTATGTTCATCGAATATTTGGTGTGAGACCACCAGCCTTGTTTGATTACAGTAAAATACATTTTCCAGTCTCATAGATTTGGCAGAGAAGTCAGTGTGTTTACAAGAAGGCAGTTGGACTGGTTTACTTTTACCTTGAGACTTCTTAGGGCGGGGATTCCCAAAGTGTGATGCGAGCTGCCACTAGGGGGTGCTCACAATCAAAAAAATATGATGGCGGTCTAGAACAGTGTTTCCCAAACTTTTTTTCTGGGGATCCATATTTTAAAAGTCACAAACCTTCGCGACCCAAGTCAACAGACATTATTGGGAAACTCCTGGGAAGCATGATGCGAGACGACCCAAAAAAATGATAAAACATCAACAGCAACCTGTACAAAAAAGCATGTAAACATCAATGACATCTAAAACCAAAATGACACAAACATCGTAAACATTAGTGAAATGTTGACATGTTGTACAGGACATGACGTAGCTACACTACAGTCTGACTGTAGGGTGATTCAGTGGAACTCGTGGACACAGTACTCTACACTTATACCACTGGTGTGAAGACACCTCATGCTTGTGAGATGTTTCTCACTTGGACTCAGCCTCCAGTCTGTTTCTCTGACTGCTGCCACTGAGCCTGTTTCATCCGAGGTGTCGCAGCCAAAGATTTGTACTACGGTGTAGTAGCTGTAACCTGAGGCAGCAAGTTCTCAGTACTGACCAACACCGAGGCAGCAGTTGTTGTGCCTGCCAGATGGTTGAAGTGTGAATGTTTTTTAAAACACATTTGGCCCCTACGTTATATTTTGGACATTGTTTCCAGGCCTAGTTTATAAATTCTCGTAACCACTTTTATCTTGAAGCTGGTCATCTTTATGCTAATTCTTTTTTATCTTCAAACTACCTTTTTTCTGATCTGCAACTAATCGTAAGATGTCACACATGACATTGAGCCACATGTTGGTAGCCGGACTGTAAACGATGATTACACGGATCTATTAAAAGCTTCCGTTATTAGCATTTCAAGGGCAGTTTGATAAATTTAAAGGACATTTTCCTCCAGGCCTGTTCATTTGTATTCTAGCTGCTGGTCTCAGCCCAGCTCTTGTCAGTAGTATTACAGTATAACGCATACACACAAACATATTTCTGTACTCAAATGTGCACAGCTTTATCAACCTCCCTCTCGGGGCCTGAGGCCGCTCCTCTCTAAACCAACTCCTTTATGGTCACCCTCTGGTGGTCAACAAGGACACTGCTCCCCTGCATGCTGATCAGCCCAGATGTCAAAATGTAAAATATACACAACACACAGAGAGGGGAATCTGCCAAGGGCCTAAACTCACCATCCAACACTTTGGACGTAGTGATGTCTGAGGAGGAACTTAACACCAAAATGTCACTTTGATACGTGCAGGAAATGAACAAATACCTTTTTAGTTTTCTGTCTTTTTACACACACACACACACACCCCCGTGTTACAGTCATATTAAGGCTGCAGCCAATGACACAACAGGATCTGTCACTCTCCCTCTCGAGTTACAATATTTCTGTATGAAAAACTGACAAGATGACAAAATTGCCGCCTCGCTTGGATGTAAACCGATTTATTAAATGTCAAAATAGTAGAGAAAAATCATGGGCACCTGTGCCTGTGGTGCAATATAAAATTTTGAAGACTTATTTAATTATTAAAATATAGCAGTGGTTGACAAATTAACAACTCTGTGTGAGGAAATCGTGTTTTTTGCAGCACAGCGTGTGTATGAACCCAAAGTAAGAGAAAATGGTAATGTGTGTTTCCTCACAGTCGCTGACATTTCTCCCTGTGATTTGACATTTGTTCATGCTATATCACTTCATGTTCACATGTGCAGGACTTCCTGGGCCAGGCTTTCTGTACTCTGGGTGAAATTGTGGGCTCCCTGGGAAGCCGCTTGGAAAAACCTTTGATGTAAGTAACAGGAATTATCATCCACACACAAACACCTGCAGTGACGGACAAACACACGCCCACGAGCTGCGTGGAGCTGTGGAAATTAGATAAGTGAAAGGTGCAAATGGCCCGAGCTGAAATTCTGTCGGAGACCCAACATCAGCCGCCGCCCGAATGCTGCTAGGGCTTCGCTTTAGATTTTTTGATCGTGACGAAGATGAAAGCGGACGCTGTCTTCATCAGCTAAATGAGATCGACGGTGAAAGAGGAGCGGCGGCAGACTGTTAGGTCTAAACGAGGATGTCAGTGATGAGCTGCTGAAGATTCCTCTGCTCTGAGTTAATGACCAGACACATCAGTATCAGTTTGTGGATTTATCAAAAACAATTATCATTTCAGGCTCTTGCTGCTTTCTGACCACCTGAATTTTGCCCTTAGAGCAAAAAAATATAATTATAATACAGTTGTAAAGTCATTTTAATATCAATTATTGAATTAATTGAATTAATTGAATGTCACCTTTTTTACATACAGTAGGTGACACATCCGTATGGGTAATAGGGTGACGTGGGTGTGTAAACACACCTCACTGGAAAATACTTACCCCTGTCATTAGCAGATGGCAGTTCAGTCAAATGGAAACTAATCTACCTGTAAAGGAAACAAAAACCCTCAGACTGACACTGTTGTCACGTTTAAAAGACAATGTTTAGGTAGAAAGATAAAATAATAATAGTTTCTGCCTAGTAACTGAAGCCAACTGAACAGACAGTGAGCAGAGCTTTGACACCGATGTCTTTTAGACTTTCTGTTTAGTCAGTTTGTCATCTGACCAACACCTCTATCATGTGCTTGAAGCTGTGGCTCGTGGCCCGTGTGTTAGTACGTACAGTGTGTGTACAGTGTGTGTACAGTGTGTGTACAGTGTGTGTACAGTGTGTGTACAGTGTGTGTACGGTGTGTGTGTATCTGTCTGTGTGTTACCTTCTGTCCAAACCAGACACAATAATCTTAATCCTGAAATAATGAAAGTTGATTCTCATCTGCCAGTGACGGCTTTACAAACCTGTCTGTGTGGAGGGAAGGTGTATGTGTGTATGTCTTTCTGGTATTGCTATACAAGTGGGGACATTTGGCAGCTGAGTGAGAGGGTATGTCAAATTCAACTAAACCACAGAAAACAATGTGTGTGTGTGTCTCCGTGTGTGTCTCCTCTGTCGTCCAATCACCTCCGCCTGCAGTCATTCACTGCTTCACATCAATTTGCTGTCCAATTATTTCATTTTCTTTTAATATTTCCATTAATTAATATTTAATTTCTTATTCGTTAATTTCTTCCTCTCTCTCTCTCTGTCTCTCTCTGTCTCTTCAGCGGGATTCCAGGGAAGAAATGTGGAACAGTCATAGTGAGAGCAGAAGAGCTGAGCAACTGCAGAGTAAGACTTTAGTTTCCTTCCTCCTCTGGGACTTTGTGGCGTCTCTGATTCTTCTGGAACTTTTTGTGTCCTACATTTTCCATAGTGATGAGTGTGAACTTTCTCGTACCCTCACACTAACTCCCATCCCCGACTGAAATGGCCCAAATGTTGGAGCTATTTGACTTGGACACAGGAGTCATTCAAAAAGTTCTCAGACAAAAGTATTATTAGAAATTAAAAGTTGTGGATCGTAGTGATTACCACTGGATGTTAGAAGTAGATATTAGAATGTCTTCTTTCTCAAACAGCGTGACTAAACCGGCAGCTACAAGAACCACAACATCGTATTATAAATGTAAATGTCTAAATAATCCTGTTTAATGTACAGCTACTCATAAATAAGTAATAAATTGGAACTTTTTTGTCTTTGTGTTTGAACCACTTTAGACCAATTTCAACAATCATCTCATATCTTCCTGATGTTTTTTTTTTCAGGAGTCAGTGATGCTTCAGTTTTGTGGGAACAAACTGGACAAGAAGGACTTCTTCGGAAAATCCGATCCATTCCTGGTTTTTTACCGCAGTAACGAGGACGGATCGTGAGTTGACGCGCACGCTTCCACAACCTTAGCTGCAATTTCAGATGGAAGTAAAGTGATGAACAGAGGCTGCGTCGCTTAGTTTATGCTCCAAAAAGCCCTCCATACAAAGCATATAGGCTCTGAACTGCCAATGTGATCTTACGTAATGCTCAGTGCTGTGAAGCCGTACGGAACCTAAGCCACGGCGTCGTCAGCAGGAGCTGAGATGAGCAGAGCAAACAAGACAGTGCTGACAAAAAGGAGAATAAGAGAGGGAGGGAAATAAGAGAAAGGATGGGATGGAGTTAAGTGAGAACCGTACGTGGAGGTCACACTTTCTCTGCCCCGCAGACGCTTTTGTTCAGTCAGTGTCAGCATCTTGCACTTAACACATTCTCTCTTTGTGCAGCTGTGTATTTACTGATGCAGCTTAAATGTTTAGCCCCGGGCCGTAACAGCAGGACGAGCTGCGCTGGTTACAGCCAGTTACTACAGCCTTTGAGGAAAGTCCGTGAATGGTCCCCGACAAAACTTTTCCCCCTTGATAACGGAGAGCAGCGAGTCGATTTAACTCCGGGTTAGTTTTTGTAATGTGTTAACAGTGGTTTGTCTTTCAGGTACACCATCTGCCACAAAACAGAGGTGGTGAAGAACACTCTGGATCCGGTGTGGCAGGCGTTTAAGATTCCAGTCAGGGCGCTGTGTAACGGAGACTATGACAGGTACGGTGAGCAACTTCACGGAACGTTTCTTTCCTCAAGATATCGACAGTTCGGGTGATAAAATATTCTCACACGGATCCGGAAGTATGTTAAGACAGAGTTTTAGGTGATAAATATTCACCGCAAAAAAAATAAATAAAAAAAAATAAAAATTTCACTCAGGCGTTAAAATCTCTTTTAAATCAGACTGTGAAATAGATAGATGTTATGGGTTTTGTCTTCGGAATTAAAAAAAAAACTACTAAAGTACTGTGTACTTTTGAGTTTCAGTCAACATTTCATTGTTAATTCAGTTCATTTAAATTTTTTTTTTTAATTGAACATAATTGTTTTTTTTAACTACAGCCCCATTTAGAGAAAAGTACAAGACAAACATGAACACAGAGTTCTTATTTAAAAGAACAGGTCTTCTTCTGAGGCAGTTTTTTTTTGACAATTAAAAAGTCATCTTGTTACTGATTGTACACTATTTGGAGTACTTAACAAATCAACGTATTCATAGAGTGTATCAGCTGTCCATGAACCAGTTTTCTTTTTTAGTAGAACTCGATTCTCCTTGAATTTTAAACTACAATTTCCCTTTCCATTTTTTCTCTTTCTGTGCCTGTGTTTCCCCGCAGGAGCATTAAGGTGGAGGTATACGACTGGGACAGAGATGGAGGGTGAGGAATCCTTGCCGATCACTGTTATTGACATCCTGTGTTGAAGGATGAGTCGTCTGTATGGGGCTAAACCAGGGGAGGAGTTAGAGCTACAATAATAACATCTGTGATTATCATTACTGATCATAACATCTGAAACAAATGTTAAAGTACATCGTTGTAAACACGGAGATGAACAAAATAATTGTGCTGTAAAATTCTTGGTTTAATCCAGATTTTAATCCCACGGCCCACCTTTGGGCCACGTACCACAACTTTAAAATCTCTTAACTGCTTTAGGTCTACATTAATAATTGAAACAGAGAAGACTCAGAGAAGCCTGTGGAGCAGGTGACTGCACACGTGGGGACAAAGATGCTGTTCATCTTTTCATGTCTTTGAAGTCCCAGTACTCTGGGGCCACAGTCTGTGCCCTTTATTGGGAATTCAACTGGCAGTTCAAGGACATTTTGCCCTGAGCTCTCATTAATTCCTGACCCTGATTCAAACTGCACTGATTATCTCCGTGAAATTATGAAATTAGAGGCTGCGCTCATGCCTCCGGTAACCAAGGAGCTTGTTAGTGATCCTGCGTGATTTCCTCCTGTACTGTGAGGAAGACGAGCCCCACACTGTGAATGTATGTGGTGAATGTAGTCAGTCGCTCTTCAGCAGGTGCTTTTTTTCACCTCGTTATATATTTACAGGTTTGTCTGGTGCAACATCACAACTGTTTTTAAAAAAAAAACAGAAATGTGTTTGTGTCTGGTGTTTTTTGTTTTGTTTTTTGACACTTTACTGTCTGCTGTCACAGCCACGACTTTATCGGCGAGTTCAGCACCAGCTACAGAGAAATGTCCAGGAGCCAGTCACAGTTCCACATCTATGAGGTGACACACGACCATATGAGTTCCTTTTATTTGATGGAATCTGTCAGCATAAAAAAAAAAAACATATATATAAATGAAAGTTCTATGTTAATTTAAAGGCATTTTTTTACAGCTGAGATAACAGGTCATAAATATAAGTCAAAATTATTTTAAAAAAGTTGAAATTACAATAAGAAATATTCTCATAAATCAATAAGTAAAAGTTACTTAAGTGTTAAAAGTCAGATCATCCAGTTGTTGAAGTGTGTGACAGTATAGCTACTGTCTTCACTCTGTGGTGGATTATACTGCATTATTGGCAGTACACCTAAGAGTAGATAAGAGTTTGGTGAGTACAGCAGTGGATAAAATGCGACTCTTCTGATTGGTTAACGTTTCTCTGTGTTAGCGCTGCGTCCACTTCATTCAGGCCTGAGAACGTCTGCAGCAGCTGCGATTGAACCATAAATCACTGAAGGTCAAGAGTCAGAAAAGCTGCTTATGAAGCATAATGTGAACAACTGGAGTGTAGAGGCAGAAAGGGGGAGTGCTCCTGCCCCCTCCCCTCTCCCCCTTTTCCTACCTTCACATTCACTAAGCTCTGCACTGGATCTGAGCCATATCTTCATAATAAAACCAAATGACCAATTTGTCCTATAAAAAACTCATTCAGAGTGAGGCATTTAACATTAATTTTCCAATTAAAACTAAATGCACGCTGTGATACAAGTGCTACTACTGCAGAGAGCAAATGACTGATAAAAGAGTTTCCCTTCAAGTTTCCCTTGTTGTGTTTTCTCTCCAGGTGCTAAATCCAAAGAAGAAGGGAAAGAAGAAGAAAAAGTATCTGAACTCAGGAACAGTGAGTCAGCACCACATTTATATCTACCATTTTAGTCAAATGGGGTTGGGGGTGAAGATGACAAAAGAAAAGAAAAGAAAGAAAGGAGCCTCAGTAAAAAAAGTATTAGTATAAGTATAATACTGATATATATATTAGTATATATATATAAGTATTAAGATTTTGGAATATTTTGTCCTTATGTCTTTATAATGTGATTAGATAAATAATAAATTCAAAAGTCGCCTTACAATGCCTGTATATACCACTAGGGGATCTGAAAAGACCAGACCCACTAATCAAAACATGTTAAACAAATGTTTTTTCTTTGTGCATGTACAATGTGAAGAAACATAAAATACTAAAATTTTAGGTTTAATTCAGAGTTGTTTCAAACAACAACTTTAATCTCACGTCCCCCTTCTGGGCCACGTACCACAACTTTAGAATCAGTTCTCACTACCTTAGGTCTACATTCACATGGGGAGGAAGTCAAATTTAAACAGAGATTAAAAAAAAAAAGAAAGGCTTTCAAAAATGTTAAATTCCTTCTCTTTCCTGGCTGCCAGGTCACGCTCCTGTCCTGCCTGGTGGACACTGAGCTCTCCTTCCTGGATTACATCAGAGGCGGGTGAGTTAACTCTGTAAACATCAACACATTAGTGAATAAAGATGACACAGCGTCTCAGCGGTCCTCAGTGTGATGGCTCTGTTTTGTAAACTCGACTGCTAACACGCTAATCTGTTAGCTCCAAGATCCTGTACAGACAGACTGCTGCCTAATGGCCGACTGCCGTAGGCCCCAGAACATGCTGTGGTTTAATCTGACATGATTGATGAGTCGGGCTTAACTCTAACTTTCACGTCATTTATTTTCTCTCGTAGGACTCAGATTAATTTCACGGTAGCAATCGATTTCACCGCATCCAATGGTGAGTGGGTTAAATCTTCCCTCCTATCACTATCTGTGCATCAAACATGCATGTTGAATTGAATGCACGATCTCTGCCTCCTTATCTGTCCATCTTCATTTATTTATCACTCATTTATTCCACCTCCTGTGAATCAGCCAGGGAAGAAAGAGAGACAGTGTTGGGAAGTTAAAGTGCTGTGAGCTCAGCGTAGCATCTGTGAACTGATAACAAGGCATGGTGTTAGGTTTTTAATGAGCTGGGTTTATCTATATGTTTTTTTTTTTTTTAATATGTTACACCACAGAAGCAGAAGTCTTCTGTTTATTCTGCTTCTGGACACCAGTAGATTTTTTTTGTCAACCAATGATGTTGCTCCTGCTTCTACTGTATATATGTCTAAAAATTCCACGTTACTGTAACTGTAAAAAAAAAACAACAACCCATAATCACCCACGTCGTTCTATTTCTTGATTTTTAGGCAACCCATCTCAGCCCACCTCGCTCCACTACATGAGCCCATATCAGCTGAACGACTACGCTATGGCTTTACGGGCTGTAGGAGAGATTATCCAGGACTATGACAGTGACAAGATGTTTCCTGCTCTGGGTTTTGGTGCCAAACTTCCTCCAGACGGACGGGTCTCCCACGAGTTTGCTCTGGTGAGGAGAAAGCTTTAAACATTTCTGTAATCCAGGCCGTCCTTGTTAACAATTTTTATTTAAGGGAACATAAAAGGAAAGTGCTTGTCCCAATACAATATTTTTCAGACCGATACAAGTAGGAGTGTTGTTACGTCCCCAGCTCTTATAAATTACACATTTGTTTCTAAAACATTGATTTAACAAAGTAACTGGAACAATATAAGGAGGAGGAAAATACAAACACAGTCACTGCCACAGTCACTCCAATACACATTGGACCAATTACATGCGACAGTCTACTAGTGGGTGGTAAACGCTGCTGTCCAAAAACATGAATAAATACTGCCAACGGGCCTGTGCACTAATGAACGCCAAGTAAGCTGTTAGTCACGGAGCCGGGAGAACATTATCTTAAAATGTATTTATTCTGTTTGGTTACAGTCTAGGCCTCACTGTAATAATAAAAAAATGTAGCTGTAATATCACATGTAATATAACAACAATAGAAAACTGACCACCGAAACACAGTCTTCACATGTACTTCTGCATAATCTGACAACAAGCTGTGCTGTTTAACACGGTGTTTTCTTTTAACTGCACAGCAACAGCCTTTCATGTAGAATGGTAAGCTTCAGTTGGAGGGTTTCTGGTTCAAATCCCAGCCCTGGAAAAAACAAACAAAAGACCTACCTGTTTTCTGGGAGTGCTAGAGAAATACAGTTACATCCGGTAATAATCCCTGACGTATCTAACCAACCATTTCTTTTGGAGGCGTCACGGCGCTTCCTCAGCTGCCCATTATCTTCTCACTGCTCCGTCACTGTCAGATGTTGATCCAGAGGCGTTTGAAGACATTACAGCTACCCAGTGTTTAGTAGCAGCTCCCCCTGGAGGCACCAAACTCACCGACCAGGCATATATGTGTTAATGTAACCACCAAGGATTTAACTTAGTCAGCTCAGAAGGCACTGAGCTACAGCTGCGTCGCCTCAGCGGGAGGCGCTCGTCGCTGAATCCGTATTATCTGTAATTATGCACAACGCGCAGCAAAGGGGTCTCGCGTGTGTTTTTTTGTACTCGCGACCAGTGGAGCAGAGTCACTCAAGATGCTCTTCTCACCGAGGTAATTAGAAAGCCCAGAACATATTGGTAGTTTAAATAATGTATTATGTTCTGCAGCTTCTTGGGTTTATTAAACCTAGTCAAGCAGTCATCAGTTTTAATATTGCTCAAAGGATTTGGAAGCAGCAGAGGTGAAAACAGCTTTGGTACTTGGAATAAAAATAAAAAAGAATCATCAAAACATGAGGTTGGTGGAAAAACTCCAAGTAGACCAGCTCTAACCTCAGGTGCATACAAATTGCGTCTTCCTCGAATTGATTCCATCCTAATGTTTCTCCTGCCGTCCATCCGTATCGCAGACTTGGGGTGTGAAATGTTTGGCATCGGGCTAATCTTTACTGAAATGCTGCAACGCGAGGATTTAACAGTGTGCGTTTTCCTTCGAAGATGTCATATATCTTATATTACTTTGGCTTTTGCGTCCTCAACGGCTGCCAAGCCTCTGGTTCCTCTTACGCTCGGAAATGCATTTTGATGATATTTGAATGTGTTGCTGATGCTCTGGCCCTGGGGAGTCCCATTTGTGGCGTCTCAGCGTAGGCATGTAATTCTGTTATCCTGCATATTGCAGCCATCATGTTTCCCTTTGCCAATAAAATCTACAGTAATTCCACACCAGCCTTTTTTTGTCCCCCATAAAGGGATGTAACGTTTTCAAATGCTTTTTGTGTTCTGTGCCTTCAGGGCTGTGTGGTTTCCAAATATTATTTTATTCTAACTTTTCTTTATGGCTTGTAAAAACTCTGTAGGCCTAAAACATGTATTGTCCTCCAGTTTCTGTCCAATTCTGTTGATTAGAGAAGGCAGTTTTAAAGGAATAGATTAAGGATTTTTTTGTGAGGTTTAAACCCATGTCCTGCTGCACTTAGTGTCAGTCTGTGACAGAACAACATGGGAACATTAGAGATTACAGAATGTACCCACTGGGGTGAGAACACCTGTGTCACCTGCAGTCTGCAGGAGCAGTTAAAGTCAAGAACAGAGATGAAGACAGGAGAGGGTGTAAACTAACAATAACGAAGGCTGTAGGATCACCTCCTACAGGAATGACTTCCTGTGGAATACACTGGTGGACGTCTAGGAGTACTACAGTGTTGATTAATATATACATATGTAAATATATATACATACATATATACATATATATGTATGTATATATGTATGTATATGCATATATGTATCTATATATATGTGTGTATATATGTATATATTTTTTATTTTTATATTTACTGTGTTCTTCTCTGTACTAAGCTAAATATTATTACAAATAATGAATCTGTGTTCTGTTCTTCTCTGTACTATGCTAAATATTATTACAAATAATGAATCTCTGTTTAAAAAAATTCTTTTTATGTTGATCAACAACCTTTTTCAAATGTTTTTTTTTTTTTTTTGTGCAGAACGGTAATCCACAGAACCCCTACTGCAACGGCATCGAAGGGGTGATGGAGGCCTATTACCAGAGCCTCAAATCTGTTCGCCTGTACGGACCCACCCACTTCTCCCCTGTTATTAACCATGTGGCCAGGTAGGTCCACTATAATCAGAGCAATGAACATGTAGGCAGGAATCAGGGCACAGCGTTCACAGCGTTACGTTCAACTACAACACCATCAGGAAGTGGACGCTGCTGCAAATCAAGACTCGAGAGTCTTCTGGTCACCTGTGGTCCAGACTGACCGTGTAGACCGTACTCATTCAACATGGTCAAGATTAAAGAATATAAATACACCAGAATATATCGGGTAGATGGAAGGAGTTAAAAATGAATGTGCAGATTTCCTAACACTGCCTTCATTATGGACCAGAGTAAGTGGACCAGGGTGGCATTTGCATAAAGCTACTTGCAATATATAGTGGAGATTCCAGAGCTGTCCAACTGTTCATTTTTTTTCATTTTCATTTAGGTATAAACTTAATCCATAAATGTAAATTAATATGGAAAAAAGTAAAAAAAAATGTCTCAATTTGTTATACAAATATAACAATGTAATGTGTTTGTCAACAGTATATTAAAGTGATACGATAGCAAATGATAAGTGGACGACAGTGTATTAGAGTGATACGATAGCAAATGATAAGTGGATGTTATACTGTATATAAATATATGGTGTACGTCATTCTGCGTAGTACAAATACTTAGTAAAACGCCTGAAACACATAGTAGTTACAAATGAGCAGATTACCCAAAGTACAGCTAATGAAAAAAGGTGATCACGTCTGTAAGGTGCAAGTTAGTATTTCCTGACCCAAACTAAACCCTGTATGGTCCTGAGACGCTGAGGACATGGCTTTTATTCAATCCCTCGTCCTCGTTCTACTCCTCACTAGCTTTTTATATCTGTCACACCCTCTCTCTCTCCCTCTCTCTCTCTCTGTGAGTATTCCACCCACTCAGCCTGAGAATAGCAGCATTGTGCAGCAGCCTTCTCCATGATGCTTCTTAGAAAAAAAGCCCAGGAAGAAAACAATGAGACCGAGTTTAATCTAATCCCAACTGACTTTTATTTTGGACCAAGTGTTGATCCCAGACAGTAAAAGAACCATTTGCTGGACATATATTAATTATATGCTAAGGTAATTAATAAAAAAAAATGGATAGGTTGACAGAATCAGAAAGTCAGAAAGTACAAATCTAGAATGAAAAAGACCAACTGTTCTTAATTCTTTTTTTTTTTTTAATCTGATGTACTTCTGTTCATACAGGTATGCCTCAGCAGTGACGGACGGTTCACAGTACTTCATTCTGCTCATCATTTCTGACGGCGTGATCACAGACATGGCACAGACCAAGGAGTCAATAGTCAACGTACGGTATTATATTTGAACTCCTTCTGTTTTTACTTCATTGTTGGAGAGTTTAGATCAGTGTTTCCAAACCCTTTTGAGCCACAGCACATGTACATCATCAGGGAGAACCCCATGGCACACCACCAAACAAACGTCTCACACCACCAAACAAATGTCTCACACCACCAAACAAACGTCTCACGCCACCAAACAAACGTCTCACACCACCAAACAAACGTCTCACAAAGAGGAGATGTAATGAAATATAAGAGTCATTATTGACTAAAATCCCAGCTGATATACTGGCAGGAATTGAAGAAAGACACTCACAAAGATCTTCTTCAACAGCTCTGATTATCTTTTGTTTAGTTTTCATAGCCATCTGCTGCCCCCTAGCTGAAGAGTATTTAATAGTTCTGCCTTTCATGCATTGGCAAGGAAAGAAAAATTATATGCAATAAATAAATATTAGCTTCAGCCTAATTAAGTGAAATAGGATCATTTTCCAGGGCACACCTGATGATCTCTCACGGTACACTAGTGTGCCACGGCCCAGGGGTTGGGAACCACTGGTTTAGATTTCCTCAGCGCTTCATCTCAAACACAACAATCACTGTATTGGAATTTGTTCGAAGGGGTCGCACGCAGCATTTTACTTATCCATGGCAGTGTGTGTGTTTGTGTGTGTGTGTGTGTGTGTGGTGGGGTAACATGCAATAAACCAATCACTGTGGCATCTCCCATTTTCTTTAAAAGCCAGGTGCACTTGTGTCCTGTGACAGCTTGTTATTATAATGGCTTTAAGCGAAGAAACAAACGAGGAGTAACTGTTCAGTGGAGGAGGCAGGTTAGTTTAATCACCGGCTGTCATCAATAATCACAGAATTATTCTTTTTCAGTCATTTTGTCAGTGTGTGAGTTAAACGCTCCTGTGGGAGAGAGTTAAGGTAGAATCAGTCGCCCGTTTCCCTCAGATCCTTTTCTCCACAGCAGGTGAATAGAACAACCAAACTACTGTATGATAATCAGGAATAGGAACTGATTAGGAACTAGTTGTGGAACCCATTAGTCAAGATTGGATCTTGCGGTACATTATCGACACATCGATATTTAAACTATAAACATCCACTCGTTCTGAACAGATTCTCTCACAAAATCCTGCTACAGTTTTTCAAGTGAGCGGAGTCGACTAAAGGAGAAAGTCTGCCGGAAATCGGAATATGAAGAAGGAACTTTCCTTTAAGACGAGCCACTGTGCAGTATGCACTTGTTTTATTAACCTTTACTGACTGTCACTCACCGACAATGTTTTCTAACGCGTGTCAAAAGTGTGAAACCAATTGACAATGTTTTCTAACGCGTGTCAAAAGGATTCAGTCAATAAATCCTGAATATCCTGCGATAAATTGATGGCAACATATTGACTCCCGTCCAAACTAAACTCCACTTGGCCCCGGCTTCCTCTGCCTCCTCTACCAGTACGAAGTGAATGAATCGCAGAGCTGGAAGTATTTTATGACTTGTTTATTCAGTAACCAACTGATGAGTGTGTGAGGACACATAGAGATTAAACTGATGATGGAAATTGTAATAAACTAATGAACAATACAATGGAGGAAACATGAGGAGCGGTCCATCAGTCATCTCTCTCTCTCCTTTAGTGACTCTCTCTCTCTCTCTCTCTCTGAGGGTCATCCTGGTTACTCCCTCCACCTCCCTCTGCACGTCCTTGTTCTATAATTACCCCACCTAGTAATTATTGTGATCCTCGTTTATGTGTGTAACTTCTTTTTGCTGCAGTTGGACCCATTGAACCCCCCCCCCCCTCCCGTTTGCCCCCAGGCGCCCCATGTGATGTAATGTTATTGTAAAGTAAGATTTGAAAGTAATTATTTACTGGCCCCGCGGAGGGTCTCTGCTCCTCATATCTCAGGCAATTTGAGGGTCCGTCTAATAACTACAGGAAGTTATGAAGCACTGGGAAGCCATTCATCTTCAGCACTCAGACTCCACGTCGCTGTCTCCTCCGCCATGACTTAATAAACAATATTGTGATTCTGGTTTGAAACACAACAGGAGCTCGGGGCAGGAGTCATAATTACAGTCGTTTTTATGCTGTCAAAGGGTTACACAAAGTTGTAGACGCACGATGTTAGAAACTTCAGAAATCCACCGGAGCGGAGAGACCAGGACAGGAGACGAGACCGGACAGACCTGGACTTGTGTATCCAAACACTGGCATTGCACTTCTCGTCTCCCGCCATTCTTTTCTATGCACTGCTAGCTTACACCTAGTAATCCGGGGTGATATAAAACCGACAGCGTGTTGTTGTGTATAAAATAGCAAACGGTAAAAATAATGAAAGGATTTAATTTGTCTGTGTTTCGTCCTCTGTAGGCTGCAGCTCTGCCCATGTCAATTATAATAGTCGGGGTCGGACCAGCGGAATTTGACGGTAAGCTGAGTGAAGAGCACATGCATATTCATGCCTGTGTGTACGTGTGTGTAGGTGTGTGTGTGTGTTTATTTGCACGCACTAATCCTTTATTCCCCCCCGACTCCCCCGCCTTCTATCTCACCTCCCACATGCTTCAGCTCTTCCCCGTTCAGATCATCTTTTCTTCTCTGCTCCGTTCTTCTTCCCACCTCTCTCTCTCTCTCTCTCTCTCTCTCTTTCTCCTCGCCCTGAATCACAGCTTAGTGTAGATATGAAAATTCTTATTTGTCAGACCTGAACTGTTGTTTCTTTAATGAAAGGCCACATTCCTCACCTCTTCCCTTGTGTGGTTGAAAGAAAACATTGGTGTTTACACTCTACAGAGCGGTCCTCTGTAAAAACAAGCTCAAGCTGGTGACGAGCAATTAGCCTGAAAGTCAACAAAATTCTACAATTATCACAGTTGGACGCTGTTAGGTTTCAAACAAACAGAATCACATTTTGTTTCTCACACGGTTGGCAATAAAGCAGTAAACCCCCAGAACTGTGTTGGATGCATGATATGACCTGACTGTGGCAGCTGAATTCTCTTGGCAGGAAGTGAATGATGATTTTTTTTTCCTCCCCAGAAATGATTGAACTGGATGGAGATGAGGAGAGGATTTCATCCCAAGGAAGATATGCTGAGAGGGACATTGTTCAGGTACAGAGTATGGATGGGTTTCCTTTTCAGTTTCAGCTCCAGTGTGAAAATCATGTCATATCACAGCGGGCTTTACAATCTGCACTTAAACCACCAATCTAAGGAAAATGTTGAAAAATGGTCACAATCTTCAGCCATTTGGTTTAAGGATGGATGACATCAAAGGAAAAATAAGAAAAGGACAGAGAGAGAGAGAGAGAGAGAGAGAGCAGGAAAAAGTACAATAGTTAGCAAGACAAAAAAGATTTGACTGTAAACATAATTTTGGATCTAGTTCTGAACTTGATGGCACCACGGGAGTTGCCCCCAGCTGTCTAAACCTACAACAACAAAATGAGGGGTTACGTCAGATTCCTCAAAAAATGGATAATAAAATAATTTGAAACATTTCCCACAAAAATGATCCTGAGGAAACATATGCTGCGAGACACTCCCTAGTTTGTTTTATGGCGATAGGATATCAGATTAGCATCAAATTAGCATACCAGCTTGCCAGAGGAAACATATGCTGCAAGACACTCCCTAGTTTGTTTTAGGGCGATAGGATTAGCATCAAATTAGCATACCAGCTTTCTTTGGCTATTCAAGTTGGTTTGTCTTCGGCCAATCAGCTCATACATATGGGACATATTTTAATGGGAGGAAGAATCTAAATTTTGTCCTTTTCCTCTATGTTAAAAGGTTAAAATATCTGTTATTTTATCCTTCTTTAATTTAAATCTTAATCTCTCTAATCTTTGTCTCCTCGTTCCTTTCCTACATTCTCCAGTTCGTTCCCTTCAGAGACTACATTGACCGACGAGGAAACTACATTCTCAGCATGGCCCGTCTGGCTAAAGAAGTGCTTGCTGAAATCCCAGACCAGTTCCTGTCCTACATGAGGACCAGAGGCATCAAACCGGGGCCACTGCCGCCTCCCTATACCCCATGTCCTGCACCGGCCATTCACCCCCTTCTTACCAGGAGGGTAAGTCGAATTTAAAGGCCAGGGTCTGGCTCTGACCTCAGCCGGGCCGACTCTGCTGCCCTCTACAGTCTTTCTTCTACGTCTTCTTCTTCCTGCTCCTGAACGGAAGCTTTCTGAGAACATGGTGAACCTCACCCACTCTCTCATGTTGCACTTTCGGGAATGTTCGGCCATGACTGGTGACACGGATCACCATGAGTGGGCCACTCATGAGAAAAAGGGGGATTTTTTTTTTCCCTGATCGGAAAGATGTGTGGTTTCAGACAGGTCACAGCAGTGACGTGAAGGTCAGGACTAACTGCACAGTGACTGACCAGAGCAGTGACCTCTGCAGCTGCCAGACTGACAGGGTCCAAACTCTGAAGGCCCTGTTTTTACACACTTCTCCTCTGTTTACTGTTTTTATTTCACCTCTCTCTGTCACTCAACAAAGTTCTGTTTTTCTTTCATATGTAAATGTTTACAAGAGTCAGAACAGGACCGAAGGATATTTTTCAGGAAGAACTTTTTACCGATCAATGTGAAAACCTTTTTTTTTTTTTTTTTTTTTTCGGGTGTAAAACCTGGAGGTTGTGAATTTGTATAAAAGTATGTAGAGCCTGCCGCCACACGTCTTCTTTACGGAGTGTGTTTTTATAAATAAATGAAGCATGTGCTAGTTTAAGAGAAGCATGCACTGTTGTCCTGTTCCATTAAGAACAAACTCATCACCTCTGTGATATCGTCCCACGCTCCCACCTCCTGCTCCGTCCACCTGCCTCGACTCAAAGGAAGCTGTGCTCCCTGGGAGACGGGTCGACTCAAATGCAGCAGGGACTCGAACCAGCCTTACTCTTGTATCAGACAACATTTACAGAAACATTTCCATCTGTGGGTCTGGAAAACACGGCTCTCCAAGCCCAGAAGTCAAAAACACACATTTCACTACCGAACCTAACTGTGTGTGAGTGTGTGTGTGTGTGTGTGTGTGTGTGTGTGTGATGTGATTCTCTTTTTATTTTCCTGATATGACAGTGGACAGTATTTACTGTAGTATCGTACTGTAGCATTTTTCTGTTTTTTTTTCCACATCTCTCTACCTCTCACTTTTTCTGGGGGAAATTGCCAAAAACTAAATAACAATGTTGGTGTGAGTGTTGGGTTTTTTTTTTTTCAGTCTCATTTTAGTCACGCAAACATTTGCCAAACTGTAGGCAGAGAATAAACAGCACTTTGGTTTCTCTCAGATCAGGTGACTTACACACTGATGGTACAGTAGCAACACACTGTTAAACAACACACACCCCACAGCCATCATCCCCCCCCCACTCCCCCGACCCCTGTACAGATCACGCTATTTCCTCTGAGCTTCTGTTGAGTCACTTTAAGACAGTAATGATATTAATCAGTAGTGTTAATGCATTCATATTTCCACAGAAAACCCTTGCTGTCGATATCAAACCCAAACAGAACAGGGCTCTGAACTGAGGACGGACACGGGACAAACAACGCAGCTCAGCGGCTTTAGGAGTTTAGTCATTATGTTGACTCTAACAATAAAAATAACCGAGCTGGTCACACATGATTGGATGGCACCAGAGGCAGTGACTAATACTGTGACATTACAGTGGACCAACACAGGTCTGTGTATTGTCTGTACTGTTTCTGCTGAGTCGTTCTCAATGTGAGGTGTGAAGATAACAGGAAAAAGAACGATGACATAACAACGCACCAGCAGCGACTCTTAGACCAGTGGTTCTTAACTTTGTTGGAGGTCCTGAACCAAGTAGACCAGTTTCACCGAATACACTTCACTTTAATATACAGCTGTTTATCTCCAAAACTATTTTTAGGGCCATCAGTTGGCAAAACCCAGGCATTGTGTTATCAGGTTTTCATTATTGGACAAAAACGATAACGATCCTCACAGATATTACATAATTATGCTATAGATCTTTGTGAGTGTCTTTCTTCAATTCCTGCCAGTATATTAACACTGTCTTCAACTAAACAGGCTAAAATATCAGTCAATTATGAGGTCATTTAGACTAGAAGATTAATATATTTCATTACATATACTTTTGGTGAGATTTGTGTTTTTTAAAATTGGTTACATTAATTGAAGTTTGAAATTTTTCCTCGACAGTAATGTTACTGTGCGTCTGTCGTCCTCGGTTAAAGAGCCGTTGTTGTTCAGGTGTTTGGTAGCGAAGGCTTGTGTTTTTTTTTTTGGGGGGGGGCGTCAAAAAGCAAGAAAATAACTTTAAAGATAGAAACAAAATGTATTGCACTTTCATCATTTCTAACCACTTTTCAGGGTAAAAACTTTTTAACACCACTTTGCTGTATTGCCCGGCAATGTGAGCGTAAAAAATTGGATTTTATGAAGTTAGGGAAAAGCACAAGTCTTTTTTACCACCAACATACAGTGTAAAGACGCCCCTTGAGTCCGATGTAGATTTGTAAATACATTGCATTTGACTGTGCATTTGATAAATCCATTCATCGCATACAACAGAAAACACTGGAAAACAACATTTTCCAAAAGCCCCTCCCACCTCCACAAAAAGCCATCGAGTCACTGAACTAAAGCTATATGAATACACCTACCTGTAATCTAATCTAATCTGCCTGTAAAGTTTTCTTAAGCATTTATACACTGTACAAACTCTGCCTTTTTGTGTACTGCTCAACATACTGTAAGTGTGATGCTGCTTCTCTACTGCTGTATGACATTTTATACAGAGGCCTGTAATCATATTTAAATCATGACTAACAGGCCTTATTCATGTTAATACATAGGTTATTCATGTTTAAATCATGAACGACAGGCCTGTATTTTTTTAAAGGGTTTGATAATGTCGTACGTGCTCCTTGTGTTTCAAGATGTTTTCAAAGTACACCCGCTGATCAAATATATACTTTGTAGCAACATTTTTTTTTTTTTATCAGCCGAATTTGACCTATCGTATCGTAGCATCTTTTCAGACTCAAAAAAGACCCAGAAAAGCTCATCGAAACACAAGGGGTTCTGTTGTCGGTGTCCGTTGATCCGAAACCGCAGAGGAGACACGTTGAAAGTCGCACAATGTAGCACTGATCTCGAGTCCGACATTAGACCCCGGGGCAACGTGACTGAACAGATCAGGCGGGACTGGACGGGAGGGAGGGTTGTTTTTATTGAAATGTACAGTATATGTAATTATATATTCTGTATATACTGTAGTTGTTTCTGAAAGGTTGACTCGACGCCAGCCGCTGGGACTCTGTGACTGCTGAAACACAAGGCACAGCTTTTTCATTTATTTATTAAGACAAGATGTCATCTTCATCTCACGCCCACACTCTTATATACTGTGCACCCACTGTACATGTATTTGTGTATGAAACATGCATGGCACTTATATAACACGAGGCAGGCTGAAAGGAACGACGAACAAAGGGGGTTTTCTTGCCTGTTTTGTTTCAGAGGAACAGTGGTTTCACAGGTGAGGACGAGACACACAAACTGTGTTGTTAGAAATGTGTTTTAAACATATGATCATTTAAATGATGTAAATGTATAAAGACAATCATAGGCTTCGTTTGGCCTTATTAAAAGTGTATTCTACGTCATTGGTCAGCAGTAGGCGGACAGTTGGCCAAAAATGGCTGATAAATAGCTTCACTAAAAGTATAAATTAGGAGTTAGTTGGTAGTAAGTTGGTAGACTGGGATAAACATGAAGTTTGTGTTGTTGATGATCTGAGTGGATAGAACCAATGTCCCATAGGCTGGGACACTGTTTCCCAAAGACTAGGTTAAGATTTTCCCAGGAGTTTTGGAGGAGGCTGCCAAGGTTTGTGACTTTTAAAATATGGGTCCCCAGGAAAAAAAAAGTTTGGGAAACACTGGGCTCGGAGGAGTGTGCCAGGAGAGCAGATACTGTAACAGGCTCAGTACTCATTAGTAGCTCCTTTTTTCGTCCCTACTGACATTGTTCACTTGTATTTGATCACCTGGTATCAGGTCGCTGGATCAGCACATGGTACTGGTACTAGTATATCCCTAATTTTAATTTTAAACTAGCATCCAAGCTACACCAATCCCTATTCAGGAGAGATATAAAATATAAAAATCTGTTTCCACACGGTGCCCACGTAACCCTGGGTATTTCTAAAGTGCAGCTGCAGTGAGTGAACCACTGTTCCTCTTCGTCAGTGTCAGTGAAGGACTAATTACCAACACGTTGGCCAACAATGAAGGAGGAAATAAAAAAGAGAGAGAGTCATGACTAATGAAGTTGACTTACACCTCGCTGCCTCCCCCGAACTGATGACTGCATACAGTGTGTCACTCTGCCAGTGCAGTACCTGTGTTAGCATGCCGGGGCCGTGTGACCGCCCATGTATACTTCACACATGTAGTGTAAAAGATGAACGTGGTCTACTGTACCCTCTGATGTAAACACCGTGGTTGAACTGAATGCTCGTGATGAATATCCTCCTCCACCTCCGCCCCACATGTGTTTTTATTTTTATATTTTAATTTTTTTAATTTTTTTTTAAAAGCATGCATGATTTTTGCATGAGCTACCAGAGATGCACCAGTGGGTTTTCAAGAAATTGTAATATGACAGTATTGTGTGTTATCTGAACTGTTTTGCCTTAAATATATCTCACTGATCAGTCTTAGAATTGTGCAATGCCTTCAGATGTTTTTTTGGAGAAATTTTTGTTTCTCTCCTGGCCTCAGTCACACGTTTAGACTTGGTTCAAGGATTAAACAAAAACAAAAACAAGGTGATTGGAGAACCTCATCCTCAACAAAGAAATTAGAGAGTCAACAAAAACTGTCATCCTTTTATATGAATTATTTATTTATATAAACAACTTCAACTATTTAACTATTTAACCCCTACTTTATACACTTCACATTACATGTCACCCCAGTGATTTATTTTGTATTGCATGACTCTTGTATTTGCACAAAAAGGCAAATAAACTTTTAAAGTCCAAGTTTTAATCTCATCCGTCGATACATAACATTGACCACCTGCACTCGGGTGTGTTTTCTTTCTAATCTTGCTCCTCTTTTCTGCTGCTGGTTTCTCTGGAGACACTACTGGCCATCATGGATGTTGGTGAACTGTTTTGCCTCCTGCCTGTCAGAATAGTAACAAAAACACTGATCTGACACGCTAAGAGTGTGGGCTGCTTTGAAACCAAGTGACAGTGAGCTAATTACAGCCGGTAGACTTTTATCTCTTCCTTCTTCCAATCCTGTCCAAGATTTTAATGAGCGATCACTTCTATCTGCTCTGCATGTTTCTCTGTATGTGACTTTTAACATCACATTGGGTTATTAATATTTAAGTCAACTCCCACTTCAAGCTATAATCAGAAACGTTAATTGGTGCTGTAACACACACACACACCTACACACCTACACACCTTTTTTGTGGTTTGTGAGGACATAATACCAACTCGATGCATTCCCAGGCCCCTTACCTTAACCTTAGAGATTACAAATGTACGCCTAATCTAAATCCTCACCCTGACTCTAATCTCTATTTATGCCTGACCAAATCTTGAACCTCAAAGATACTCTCTCACCTAATGAGGACCTGCAAAATGTCCCCACCAGGACAGAGTGTCCCCATAATGGCCATTTTCAAAATGATGTCCCCACAAGTGCAGTGAAACCAGATAGAGGCACACACA